GCTAGTACCAAACAGCTTTAATATGGGCAGAAGCATTTTAATATTAAGCAAACTAGCAATATCATTCAGTTTCACTGAAGGCAGCACAGTGTGATGAAAACAGTACAATCAACGGGATCAGATCTAAATTCTCACTCCACTAGTTGAATGATACTGGCAAATTATAATGTCTATATCTCAGATTTCTCAACTAAAAAATGGAGACAACCATCTTCATCCAAACTTTAGTGAGGACATAACGCTGAAATGTTCTACAAACACCATTTAACTTACAATAAGAGTATGCAAGTTCAATACCTGACCATGAAATGTAAATATCTTAAATTAGTTAATATCTTTCTTCACAAGTAAAAGCACCTTTTCAATTCCTCTAAGCTGTAAAATAAAAAGTACTTCAACATAGTGAGGAAGGAAACTCATCACAAACCACTCACTCTTCCCTTACCATTATACCACATTATATGGAGCACAAAGCGCTCTATATTGATTCCACCTGTTGTAAATCTCAGTGATCATGAGCTTTCTCTCACTCTGGATCATCCAGTCTTTGTGTGTGTGTGTGTGGTGTGTGTGTGTGTGTGAGCATGAGAGTGCCTGAGAGCACGTTAAGTATGAAATAGAAAATTTAATAAAAATACAGTCACCTTTTATCATTTTCATAAATTTGCCTTGTGAAAGTTTTATTTCAGCACCAATCTTCTTGGAAAGCTTTTTTCTCATGGGTAAGTGATACACTCGAATGCAGGAACTTTTCTATGAGGTTTAAATTAATACATGGACTCTATTTTACAGAGGCAGTGAATTACAACTATATAATTAACATACTATGGACTGATTTCTTCTTCCAAATACACCTCCACTAGTATTGACATGAAAGTGCTCAGTAGGTGTCAGAACGAGTAATACACCTTCTATGTACACCACTTCTTTTATACATGTACATACCTGTATTTATATATACTTTGCTTCCAAATCTGCCTCTGGTTCAAGGTGCCATTGTAATTCATCAACCAAAAGGACATCTATTCTGCAAGTATTTGAAACTTGAGTCACCCAAAGCTGAACTCATCTAGAATCTCCCACATTGTCACTTCCGGGACTAGCCTCTCACCATCCACCTAAGTTTTTCTTTCCCCTAGGTGTCTATCAGACCAAACACTAACCAGGCCAGGACCCTACTTCTATGCTGCCACTTATCCTTGCCTTCTCTCTGGGTACCTTCGCTTTAGCAGGCAGACAAGCTGACCTTGATTTCAACATGGGTGACTGCACCTCTACTCCCAGCCTCCTTCAAAGCCACTTATGGAACGTGACCCCTGTAGGCCTCAGCCAGAATTGCCTTCCTTCTTACAGGCCTTGTGTACCGTTACACATAGAATATAGTTTCATAAGGCACCAGAGCCTGAAAGACGATTCACCCATTTCTTTTGACCAGCGCTCACACACAACCTAGGCATGCCCGCATGCACAATGGCCAAGGAGGAGATTTACACTAGGGTGCCTCCATGACGATTGAACCCTGTCTCCCTTCTCACTCCTGCCACAAGGTAAGCTCATGTACATCGTGGGAGAGAAAGTTTTACAAGGGCTGGAGTCCTTTATGATGAGTGCCCCGCTGGCACTCCCATCCCACGTCACCCCCCATCCCACGTGTGAGCTCATGTGCACACACATACACATTCACTCAGAGAGCCAGTAGGAGTGTGGAGGTGTGTGCGTATGTGGAATAGGGGGTAGTGGTTACTCTCCGGATGCATGACCTGTAAAGTTTTTATTGTCTTAAATCACCCTGAGAATAAATCAACAAATGGATCTTAGTGTGGTTTAAAAAAACAGACAGAGGCTGTTTAATTTGGGACATTCTTTTCTCTTTTAGTTTAAAAAATTGTATTATTTAGCAAAGAATTCAGAGAAATACATTTCAGAAATGTCCCATGTAAAGTTATTCTTTTTATTTCTTTTTAAAAGAGTCTCTGCTTTAAAATAATCAGCTACATGTTGCACATATCTGTGTGGTAACTGAAAAATCAAATCTGTTACATGCCTACGGATGATACATAATTTCATGCGATTTTTATTTTTTGAATTTTATTTTTCTCTGTTTTCCAAATATTTTATTTAATGATGCATTTATTGATCAGTAAGCCAACGGCCTGGGATGAGTGTTGAGCTTCATGTACACAGCTACAAGGCTAATGAATGTATTCAGCAATGAGGAAGTAACACCATAGTCACTATATTTTCCTCTTCATAACCAGGCTTGTCAGTAACTTAACTACTGCCGCTAAACTTGCCACTTAGCCCTTCTTAATACTTGCAGAAATCTTGGAAATTCTGTCATTAAAATTCAAAATATGTGCTTTCACTTTTAGTAAATTAGAAATAAATTAGGGGACAATTATTAATAATTTAATAAGAATTTACTGCACCCTTATTGTATACCAGTTTTGAGTATTTTACAGATACAAACTTGATAATAAAAATAATAAAGATAGATATACGTATATAGCACTTATTATGTGCCATGCATATTTCTAAGCAGTTTATATAAACCAATTCAATCTTCATAATACTCTATGAGGTAGATGCACAATTATTACCATATTTTTACAGATATGAAAACCAAGGCACAGAAAGTAACTTGCACAAGGTCACCCAACTAATAAGTTACAGGATTGAGATTTGAATCCAAGCAGCCTGGCTTTAAAGATTTATGCTATAATGTACTCCAAAATGAAATTTTATTGTATTTACATATTTCAGTATATGCCCTAGAAATACCAAAATTCTAACAAGGCCCAACAGCCACTTCAACGACCTCCGCAAGACCGTTATGAATGATATATTTTTTAAGAAAAATTACAAAAAGAATTAAGGTAAAACTCTATTTTTAGTCACACTTGGGCCCTAAACCTTAGTAAAGACCTCTCTGGTGTGTGGGCTGAAGGTGATGGCCTACTCTCAAGACCTAAAAGGTCCTTTGCACTATTCTAAACCCAAGTCAAATGAACCTCCATCCTACTGTAAGCAACGGGAGAGATGACAGCTTCAAATTGCATCCCCAAGAAGTGGTGAAAGAGAAGGAAATATAAAAAGCAGTCTCTGACATCAGGAAGCTAGCCTGGTACTCACAGCTAGGCCACATTATTCTCATCTTGGACATAAACCGTCTCACAGAATACCAACCTCTGACAAGGTTACTCTGGGACCCACAATATAATGAGACAGAGCAAGGTGACTTAATTTTGCCCAAGCACAGACAAAAACAAGGCCACTATGCCAAGCAAAAAATACCAAACACCCCTGCCATTCTAGCTAAAATAAGTGGCTACTACCTCTTTACCAATTACAGCCTTAACTTTATTCTAGTCTCTTCTCCCTATAGATAAGATGTGAGCTACCAATCATAAAATTGTCCCAATGATATAGAGTAACCCCCTACCTCCTTAGACCCTCCACCAAATCCCGCAACTAAAGCCCAAATCCTGCAATGTTTTATAACACCCACTTACTGATAAAATACAACAGTTCCCCATGACGCATGTTCTCCCTCACAGCAATAATGAATAAATCCAACTTGTTCAAATATGGGTGGTTTTTGGCTGGAGGCCACTGACATGTGAGATACAGCAAAAAGGCATGGCCTGCTCTTATAGAAAGCCCAGGAACAGCTTTACTGCTCCATCTTATGGAAGCAAGAGAAAGAGGACTGGAGGAACTTCAAGATGCCTGATCCTCCTCCATGAAATATCAGGAAAGACACACCCACATTTCTAACATTTTAATGTTCAGTAATAGTAACCACAATTAAAAGGGGCCCAATCTTTGTGTGTGGGGGAGGAGTTTGGGGGGGGATCAGCAATTTAATATAGGTTAAGATGAACGGTGATGAAAGGTGTGAAAAAGTCTCCATTTACTAAGTATACATTGGAAGTTATTTCCTGATTTGGTTCCCCTAAATAGTAAGTTGTCTTTGTTTCCCTATACGCTGCCAACTATTGCAACCCTAGAGAAAGGCAAGTCAGCATCTACCATTGTCCCTGGTAGAAAGGTATGATATTAAAGGAAGGTCCTGTCCAAACAGGGAGAGGAGAGAAAAAGCCCATGCTTCCCTCCCCACTTGACTGCAGAGAGATGAGACAAAGGCAAGAAAAGCAAGCAGTGTTATAAACTTACCTCTCTGAGCCAAAATCCGAAGGAGGAGGTATGTTCAATAGTGGAAGAATAGGTCACGAGTAGCGGAGCTTTTGTTCCACTTTCATTTTATAATTCTGTGGGATCACATCACAACCACCTGGCATGGAAGAGTGGCTAGGCAGCAATAACGAGACAGAGTTAGCACTTCCTAGCCACTCTCAGCTCTCTCATGGCATGTAAGAGATTAAGAAGTTCCCTGCTGTCCCAGAGGGATAGATGTGACATTCACAGAGTCTGCCAAAGGGGGAAGCTAAACCTTTGGATTCTCACATGTGAGGAAGGCAAAGTCAGCTCCAGGATAAAGTCAGCTCTCTGACCAACCACATCCCGTTGTCCCCAGCCAGTGCGCCCCCATCATGTCATAAAGCAGTAAAAGCCCCTATACATCCAGGTGACATTGTGGAAAAGCAGGGAAATCTGAAATATAGACTAAGACACAGAAACCTGTATTTACACAGTGTTTAAATTATTAAATAGCAGTGAGTTTAGTGGACTGATTCACATTAAGATTTTTGTTTTTCTGTAACCCTGGGGGTGGAGGTGGACTCAGGATTAAGAATAGATAAATTCTAAACAATAAAAAAAGATACACTTTCTTTCTACAGCTAAGTATAGTGTTAGTAAACTTGCATGCATATATAAACACATAGAAAAAGAATAGTAGAAAATAAATCAAAACATTAATAGTGCTTATCCTTGAGGAGTGGGTATACGGATTTTGGTTTTAATTAATGTATTTTTTTAGTATTTTCCATATGTCCTCCAATGAACTTATTACTCTTATAATCACAAAAAAAGATCAGTTTTAAAACCTGAACCACCAAAATTTTTATTCATTTTATTTTGCAGTGAAAGAAGAAGAAAAATACTTTCGTAAATGGTAAAGTGATAACTTTCAATGAATGATTAAATGTACTATAGGAAAAGAGAAATCATACACTGTATTACAGTTTACACAATTACACAAACAATATGCGGCAATCTTTTGAAAATACTGTGATTAACACTTCACTGATAAACAATAACCTCAATACGACTACGTTTCAGTATTTATCATGGTCACATAAAATACAAGAGCCTATGAACAAGCTGTTATTAACAATAAACGTAGTTTTGCCTGAAATTCTTAAACATGTGCAGGCTTCTTCTTAGGCATTGAAGTTTTAAACTCCACTGCATGTTTATTGCAAAATGAAGCGGGCACAAATGAAATTAAACTCACCAGCTAAAGGACTAAGAAAACACAAATACAAGAAGCGAACAACAGCAGCAAAAAACCTTGGGTTGGTTAGCCAAGATTTTCTTTCTAAATAAATATTGATATCATTTACCAGTTCTGATAATATTTACAGCCACAGATTAATAGCTACATAACAAAAGGACTTCAGAAGGATTAAACTACACAACACTATGTTAACGTCTTAAATCATTTACCACAGTCTATACTTCCCAAAAGCATTCTGTTACTAAAATGCAAGGTCAAATGAATCAGTATTGAGAAATATGTTTTAACTGACACTACAAGAAAAATTCAGAACACAAGACTGTAATTAACTTCTTGTATCTTGAATAACTAGATCTAGACCAATTAAGTTCACAGCCAAGTACACTCTGCTTTAGCGATCAATGTCTTCTACTATTGTCTCAAGATTTTTGCAACAGGCTTTAACCTCCTCAATTGCAGCCATCCAATTATCGTAAATAATTTTGTCATAAATTGCATCATTAACTTCCCTAACTACTCCCTCCTGCTGAGATTCCAGTGCATCACCTGAGAAAAATAATACTGATCTTGGGATTATGTAAGTACGTAAATTGTGACCAAGTAAAAAATCATCATTTCCATCCTTTCCATTTGAGCTGATTCCGTGAGGAGTAAAGAAATTGAAGAATGAATCCTTGGGAAAATCTTCAGTCACAGTTCGGATTGTTCCCCAGATCCGGTGTTTCTGCTTCTTCTTGATGGTTTTCAAAGTGACGTTCTTTCCCTCATTCCAGTCTATCTCACAGCCTGTGCAATACTCAATTGCGGTTCCTCTATAGGGATGGGGATCATAAAATGCTAGCCGTGACTTCAGCACATAGGTCTTTGTCAACAGCTCATTTTTGAAATATTCATTGGGCTTGAAGTGAAATTCTAGAGTGAAACTGAGAGGCTCACCAGGATCTGAAAGCTTCACTTTAATATCTGTCAGGAGCTTCAGAATAGGCTCATCATATTTCTTAATCAAAGGAGTGAGTGTGTCAACGTTTTTTAAGACAGTCAGCCAAAAATCAGGAATTCCTTTAGGATCCTCTTCTTTATTCTCTTCTCCGGTAGCCTCGATGTCATCATCATCATCATCGTCATCGTCTTCGTCATCCTCCTCCTCCTCAACATCATAATCATAATAATCTTCCTCATAACCATCACCCTCATCCATGTACTCATGTACAAGACTTTCCTCATTACCATACATCTCTTCCTCATCATACATCTCTTCCTCATCATAATCCTCAGAGTCTGATTTATATGCACATTCCTCTTTTGTAGGTTCATAGATTGCATTGATAATCTGACGTCTTTTTTCCAATAAGGGTTGATACAGTTCAGCAAACTTTCTTTCAATGTCATGAAATTCCCTTAGGAATTTGGATTCTAGATTGGCCACTCTAGTCTGAAGCTTTTTGAGGGCTAACACACGGTACTTAACTTTCACAGGTAGACTTTCAACAAAGTCAGTATCTAAAAGATAACCGGTAAGTCCTTTTGGACGGTCTGGGTCTGAGTCTTCATCAGTATCTTCACCTTTTTCCCCGCCTTCCCCGGACCCAGCAGCAGCATCTTCACCTCTTTCCCCTTCTTCCCCAGGCCCAGCGGCGGCTTCTTCACCGCGCTCTGGCTGTTCCCTGGGTCCCTCCATCATTACCTTATTACCAGCCTCTTCTTGACTGGATTCTAACAGTTCCTTGTAGTCGGCTGACTCGGCCATTTTTCAAAAGACCGTACACACCTAAGGTGGCTACCGCCAAGATCAGGAGACCTGACTTCCGCGGGGAAAGACTCACCGGAATATCAGAAGCGGCGGTGGCTGGGGCAGAGGTGGAAGGAATGGTAACGGTCGAACTGCGGGAGCAACAGTGGAGACTGATGCCGGTATAAAGGCAGCGCTGAGACTGTGAGAACCAGACTGAGGCAGCGGTGGCCTGTGTTGGGGTGCAGAGGGCGGGGATGGTCGCCGTAACTGGTCCTGCAGTAAAGAGCTAGAGACTGCAGAGAGCCGCCGTGGACAGACCTACGCCGCAAGCAGCTGCTGCCACAGAAAACCGTGCCGCAATATGATTACGCAGCCTTCTTGACTAGATTTTCGTGGTGCAAATAGATTGCTGCGTCACTCCCTCCCTCCTCCACAACTCAGCTCTAATCTTATTTGTTGGACTGTAGTGATTGACAAACTCTGAGCCAATAAATTATTAGATCTAAAGTTTCCAATTCTGCTCACCTTCCCAGGTTATCTAATATGGCTGGTTCATCCACCTCCCATTGGTCCTCCACCTCCCCCCACCCCCGAGTTTTGTAGAAATCCTGATTTTATTAGTTTATTTTTTAAATTTTAAACTGGTATTATACTTTTATAATTCCAAAAGAGCTAAGAGAGGACAAGGCATCTATCCATCCTAAGTCTGTCCCATCCATTTTAGTCTGAGTTCTGGGAAGGGGAGAGGTGGTTGGTGGAGGAACTTATAAAGAGAGGCTAGAAGGCAAAACACTAAAAAATTAGCAATGCTGGTCTCAGAGTGGTGTAACTGCCAGTGATTTAAATATTATATATTCTGTTTTTCTGTGTTTTCCACAAGCTACATGATAAGTGAGCAGTAATTTTAGATTGGAAAATCCTCATAGCATTTCCTGGGGTGGGGAGTGGGGTGGTGAAAGGAGGTTAGATGGGGGATAGAGTGAAAGAGGAGCTGTGATAAAGAGCCAAAGTGCTGTATCCAACTGTATGACAAGTGAACACACAAGACAATAAACCAGTTATCTGGCTTATCAGTAACCTAGTCCTAATATTGACACTTCTTCTTTCTTGATGCTGTCTTTAAAGTCATTGGGAATTTTAAAAAGAAATGCTCAAATGTAAAGAAATATTTCTTTAAAAAATTCATAACATTTGCTTGACACTTATGAGTTATTAAAAATAATTTAAATCTCAGCATTAAAAGATATGATTAAATGTATGATAGAGTATTCATAAGATGGAATACTATGCAGTCATTATAAAATTTCCTCTAGGCAGAAATCATTGGTGATGTTTATTTTGTTTGTATTTCCAATGCTGATCATTTATTAATTGAACAATTTTTCAAATTTTAATTGTCTATGATTTTCCAGATTTGAACAATAATTTATATTGTGTTACTATCACAGAGATAAACACTGGTTACACATTGTATTTTTTTACCGATTCTTTCAGTATATAGGTAAATTTTTCTTTTTACTCATTTTATCTCTGTGTGTTACATGTATACCATTACAGTATTTACAGAATTCAATTTTCAGGCTCTTGTATCAATCTGGTAGTTTCATCGTTATAAGTCCCTGCATTACAAGTTTTTTTTTTCTGGTTCTGTAGTTGCAACATTTCTTCTACTTATCTGATAGTAAATACAATATATACTCATTTAAAAAAATGTGGAAAATGAGGAAATTTTTAGAGTTTAACAGAAATCACTAGTAGTCTCACAACTCTGAGAGAACCAATGTGAACATTTTGGTCGTTTTCTTTCTGACTTGTTTGCAGATGTGTTGTGTTTAAGCTGAAGGTTTTTCAAAGTAAAAGCAGAAGACACTCTTTTATAAACTTTTCCCTCTCATTAACATATTCCAATGTCCTTAGTTTCTGTAAATGTAATTTTAAAACAAAATCCATTGTTATTTAAATATATTATGTAGTTAAGCTAAATTATTAAAGGACAAAGTATGTTCATCTAATTTTAAGATTGAAGAGTCACTCATGGTTGTATAGGCAGTCACAGAAACCACAAAGAGAATGATGTGTTTCATTATGTAAAATAAAAATATGTGACACCAAAAACATAGGAAACAAAATAAAAAAATAGAGAAGTCAGACTTCTTCAAATTAGAAACATTTTTGCATCAAAGGATACTATCAACAGAGTTAGCTAAAAGGCAACCCACATAATGGGGGAAAATATTTGCAAATCATACATCTGATAGAGGATTAATATTCAGAATATATTAAGGACTCCTACAAATCAACAGGCAATGAGAATCAAAATCACAGTGAGGTACCATTTCACACCTATTAGGTTAGCTATTATTAAAAGAATAAAAATAGAAAAAAGTGTTGGCAAGGATGTAGATAAATTAGAACATTTGTGCATTGCTGAGGAATGTAAAATGGTGCAGCTGCTGTGGAAAGCAGTGTGGTGGAGACTCAAAAAAGTAGACATAGAATTACCATATGATCCAGTAATTCTACTTCTGGGTATATAACCAAATGAATTGAAAGTAGGGTCTGAAACAGACACTTTTCCACCCATATTCATAGCAGCATTTTTCCCAATGGCCAAAAGGTGGAAACAATCCAAATGTTCATTGACAGAGAAATGGATAAACAAAATGTAGTGTGTATATACATATATATATATATATGTATATACACACACACACAATGGAATATGAATCAGCTTTAGAAAGGAACGAAATTCTGACACATACTACAACATGGATGAACCTTGAAGACATTATGCTAAGTGAAATAATCCAAACACAAAAAGACAAATATTGTATGATTCCAATTATATGAGGTACCTAGAGTAGTCAAATTCATGGAGACAGAAGGTAGAATGGTGGTTGCCAGGATCTGGGGCAGATGGGAAAGGAAGTTTTTGTTTAATGAGTAGAGAGTTTCAGTCTGGAAATATGAAAACATTTTGGATGTTGATTGCACAATAATGTGAATGTACTTAATGCCACTGAACTGCACACCTAAAAATGGTTAAAATGGTAAATTTTATGTTATGTATATTTCACCATAATAGAAAATGTTTAAAAAGCAAACCAACAAACAAAAACATAAACAATATTGCAAGTAAAATGAGCACTAAGCAAAAATAGGTGAAATATGCATAATAAACACATATATGTGCAAAACAAATAAATGATTACTATATAAAAAGAATTGACAATGATTAAAATTAAAAAGACTAAGAATTCCAAACTTTGGCAAGGAAGTAGAGAAACTGGGACTCTCAGATATTGCTACTAGGAGTGTAAGTTGATATAAAAACTTTGGAAAACCATTTGGAGCTATCTACTACATATAAACACATGCCTCTCCTATGAGCCAACAATTCCACATTTAGGTATATATATGAAAAAGCATGTACAATAGTGTTCATGCCAACATTATTTTTAAAATAACTCTATTGGATCATATTATGTGTGTCATATGATGTACCTTTTTCAAATGATTCAATGATTTCTTAAATTAAATTTACCAAGTTGTGCAACACCACCATGGATCAGTTTTAATAGATGTTCATCATCCCAATATATTTTGTGAACATTCACTGTTAATTCCCATTATACTTCCTACTCCCATCATAGACAACTGTTAACCTACTTTCTGTCTTTATAGCTTTAGCTTTTCTGGATAATTCATATAAATGGAATCATACCATATGTAGTCTTGACTTCTTTCACTGGGAATAAAGATTTTGAGATTCATCTATGCTATAGCATGTATCCATTGTTGGTTCCTTTTTATTGATGAATAGTGTTTGTGACATTGTGATATATATTTCTCATATGTATGTGGTCTTTGTTCACAGTTCCTGGCTCACAGCTCCCCAAAACATTGAAATTCCTTGTTTATGTTAATGAAGGTGACTTTTGGACCCCACCCAAGTGTGGGGGCTGGTTGTCGGGAGAACAAGCCATGTGTTTAGAGGATTGGCACTTTCAGTCCTACCCTCTGATTTCTGAGGAGGGGAGGGGGGCTTAAGGTTGAATCAATTGCCAATAGTCAATGACTTGGTCAATCATGACTATGTAATGAACCCTTCATAAAAACCCCAAAGGACAGCTCATCAGCCCTTTTTTGGAGAGCTTCCACATTGGGGAACCAGAACACTTTCAACCTGCTGCCATGCTGGGCCCCAAGCTCCTATAAAGACAGAAGCTCCTTTGTTTGGGACCTTGCCTCATGAATCTCTTCATCTGGCTGTTGATTCATATCTTTTAATATCCTTTGTGATAAATCAGTAATCTAGTGAGTAAATGGGTTTTCTTGAATTTTGTGAGCCATTCTAGCAAATTAATCTAAGCAGAGGAGAGGGTCGTGGGAATCTTTGATTTATAGCCAGTTGGTCAGAAGTATGAGTCACAAGTTGGGACTTACAACTGACATCTGAAGTGGGGAGCGGGTCTTGTCTTTTGGGACTGAGCCCTTTACCTGTGTAATCTATCTCTGGGTAGATAGTGTCAGAATTGAGTTGAATTTTCAGACACACTGCTGGTGTCCAAGAATTGCTTGTTGGTATGGGGAAGACTCCACACACATGTTGGAATTGGGTCCAGGAACCCCTTTGCACTATTTAAGTGTATGAATATACCACATTACATTTATTTTTTTTACCAGTTTGATAGACATATAGGTTGTTTCCAACTTTGGGTACTTATGAATTATGCTACCACAAACATTTGTGTACAAGTCTTTTTTATTCTAGTTGTTCTGGTGAGTATGAAATAGTATCCCATTGTGTTGCATTTCCTTAATAACCATTTTTTCATGTGCTCATTAGCCATTCATATATATTTTGGTATAATGTATTCTAATCTTTCATCCATTTTTTATTGTTTTGATTATCTTTTCACTGTTGAGGTATAAGAGTTCTATGCATATTCTGGATACAAGGCCTTTATCAGATACTGGTTTTGCAATATTTTCCACCAGTATGTGACATGTCTTTTTACACCTACTAAGATGGTGTTTCTGAAGTACAAGAGTTTTGAATTTTGATGAGACCCAATTCATCATTTTTTAAAAGACTATGTTTTGGTGTCAAAACTGAGAAATCTGTGCATACGTCAAGGTCTTAAAGACGTTCTCCTATATTTTCTTCTAAATGTTTTATAGTTTTAGCTCTTATATTTAGATCTGTGATCCATTGTGAGTTAATTTTTCCATACGGTGTGAATTAAGGGCCTGAGTTTAGCTTTCTGCATATAGATATTTGTCCCAGCACCATTTGTTTAAAAAGCTATCCTTTCCTCAGTGAATTGCCTTGATATCTTTATCACAAATTCGTCAGCCATTGTTATATAAATGAGCCAACGATGGTCCCTGTATATCAGCCCCTACATTCTTTATGC